GTTTAGCTCCGTCTCTTTTCACACTGCCCAGAGTCCGACTGGTGCTGCGTCATTGCGTCATCGTTTGCGTCATGACGTGTCTGCTTCATAAAGCCAAACCGCGCGAAAACCCCTCACAGCTGACACCGACAACAACAACAATGGCCGATTGTGCTCCAGCTTCCTCTGTACCTCTTCGGAAGACCAGATTCCCAGTAGGTAGATGGTCTCTTCAGTGGACCACTGCTGCTTGTTAAGTTTCTCCATCGTTGTGTACAAACTAGATTAAACGCTGGCTTTTTGTTGTTGTTCAGGAGTTGATCCCGCCCCTGCCCCTGCCTCGACATAAGCGTGACGTATGTGGTGCTTTTGCTCTGGCCGGACAATTTTTTGGTGCTCGAAATGAACCGGATTCCGGAGCTAAGAGGCTGCTCCGCTGCGTTGTGAAGAGGAAAACCCGGTGCTTTTCAAGCTCCAGCTCCGAACCGGCCCTGAAACACCGTTGGTGTGAATGAGGTATTAATAGCACTTTCTGTAAACATTTGAACTTGAGGCCGCGTCCCTGTCCATCCTTTTAACTCTTATCTGCGTGACTCGTCCTACAGCGGCTCGTATTGGGGAACCCAGGTGCCGCAGGTCAACATTTCTGCGCGTTGTCGCGCAGGATGGTGTAAAGCAGCAACGTGTGCTTCTAGTTCTTTTGTACGACTTCAACACATTTTTTTTCAGTAGCTTTCAACTTTTTGAATTTTCTACGAGCATCAATAGACGGGCTTGTAAGATGTAGGGCAAAACGGTAGCAGACATAGCTGCGGAGATGAAGACCTGGCTGTGCATGTACTCACCACTCCGGTGCCACTCATTTTGTGCAGTCCAAGGTTCCCAGGACAAGGGTGGGATGGCAGGGTTGCAGCTAACGATAGGTCAAGATGATATGGCTCAGTTAAAAAGACAGTTGAGAAAGCAGCAAGAACAGAATTAACCAGCTCTCACAGAATATGTTTGCAGCTACCAAATATTGCCCTAGACAGCAACAGTTCCACTCCAAATGCCCTGTAGTGTGCAGACGCTGCCGCAGCCTGGGGCATATTGCTAAAGAAAATCGTCCCGCATCAGCGTGTTCAGCAAAACCCCCAGCCCCTATGCCCCCAGGCTAGGTTCAGCCAATGCCCAGCAGCCGGCGGAAAACTAATGCCTTCTGGTCGCAGAGCCATGACTCAGAAGGGAATGCTCCTGTCTCAGAGGATGACATCGCTGTCTCAAAGTATGTTAGGAGTCCTGCCCAACTGTAACTGTTGGCACTGGGCGGTGTGGAGATTAATTGTTTACTCGACACCCGGCTTCAAATGGTAACACTATCACTCAGAGTTTTCTTTGCCCAGCATTTATCAGGGAGGTCTACAACTCCTGTCATTCAGGCTTGACTCGTGCAGTAAATGGCATCGAAATATTCTTATGGTTGGATTAACTTTAGAGAACTGATGTGAAGTTTTGGGCAAAGTGGTCCCTAGTCGGTGGATTCTGGCTTAGACGCCCGCACATTTACCCCAGCTAAAGGAAGGTGCCAAGGTATTCTAGGTTGAATGTGATCAAAGAATGCTACAATGAGCTCTTTCGAAAGCATGGTGCTGCCCTGTTTTGACTCCCCTTTTATGTTCATCAAACTTCCTCCCCCTTGGCGCAAAGCCTTCCAGCAGTGTACATCAGAGTAGAGAACAAACACCCCTACAATATGGCAGGGTAAGGGGGTCGGAGACCGAGTGGTGCATTCCTGCTGGTACAGTGAAGATAGTGCCACCACATGTCCCCAGGGTGGGTTTGGTGCCACTGGTGCCCGGTTTTTTATGAGCACTTCACTGCTTAAAAGCATCCTCCCCTGTAGGTGTGCTAGTGTCTACCAAGCCCATGGTCCACAAGTAGTGAAGAGGGACAACCTAATTATTCCCAGTGGTAATGTAAGTTACT